GATTGAAAGCTCAATACATAGACAGGAAAAGCTTGAGCAGGACAGTGGGAACATGACAGCCCCACCACCCTTCCTTTATGCAACTGTTTCCTTTCATTTTGATCAACCAAAGAAACTAAAGGTCTTTGCATACTGTTGGACTCTTATGTCCTTAGAACATAAGATCTGTCAGCCACCAGTGTTGGTTTGGTAAAACTGTAATAGTGGCCAGCAGGCTTGTTTCAAAACATTGGACTCTATTTTCACACACATAGCTTCGGCTCATTTCAAATAAATAAAATTAAGCACTTGGTCAACTGTCACAGTGCAAAACAGCATTTGCTAGATTAGGCTTGGTTGTGTCTAGAAAGTCATGTTTAAGTTGCTACTGCTACTGTAACCCCAAAAGAGTAATTTTTGCACTTGCAATATGTAGTCATATTTCATCTTTATTGCCCAAAGTGCACCTAATTTCTAATCAGAAAATTGTATTCTGGGTTCTCCGTCTTTGTAGTCATTAAAGCTTTAGATCACCCTTCCTCAACTTGGCCCTATTAAGATATGTTTGGAATTTCATGAAGTTCCTGAATAGCATATCCTAAAATTCTGTGAGTTGCAGTCCCACTGAATTTGGAGGATGTCAGGTTGAGGAAGGAAGGTAACTAATATGCAACCAGGCCATGGTCAAATTCTCTTACACTGGAAGAAAACATACAATGGAATAAATAATTTTACATGCTGAATTCAATCCCTGAACACATCTACTTCACAAAGCCATAATGCAATTATGGTTTGATTTAGCATGTTATGTGATTCCAGTGGTTTGCAAATCAGAGATTATTTTGAAAAATCAGAGTTTATGGTTTACTTAATAACTATAGATAGACGATGGATTAAAGACATGTGTCAGCTATAAGGTCTTTAGAGGGGCCCTCTTTAAAGTATGGAAGAGTCCATACTGTTCCTGGAGAAAATTAAGAACTTCTACTAATTAATTCAACACCACACATATTCAGAATCTGGACACTTTATTTTCCAGTCCTGAATTCCCTTGGGACAAACTATGGGAGGCTGCACATCAATGGTATATGAAGGAATAGCTAACCTAGAGCCAAAACTAGAAGAAACCATCTATTCTCTCCCTACCATCCGTTTCATACTCTTTCTGCAGTCTCTGCATCTATTCATCTAGCAAACTGGAATGGAGCGGCAGCAGAGATATGATCACCAGTGGAGATGTGATTAAAGTTGCCCATCTCCATTGTAAACTTCTGCAATAGAATTTTTGTATGGAAATGTAACAATATAGTTTGCTTAAAACAAAAATACACGTCCCTTTACCATACTATACATCTGATTAAAGTTCATCCCCTTTGATTAAAAAATGACTCTTATTAAAAAACAATCTATGAATCAAAATTTATTTAATCAATTTATATAGCCCTCTGGAACTTTCTCCCTCCGGAGATAAGGATGGCCCCAACCCTGCTGGCTTTTCATAAGACCCTAAAGACCTGGTTCTGTGCCCAAGTCTGAGGCCCCCAAGTGTGTGAAGAGACCCATCTCCTGTCTGTGTTAATGATTGCTGTATTTCTCTCAGCTGCTAGGTATCTAATTTTTGTAGTTGTTATTGTCATTGTCATTTTTACTTTTAACATTGTTTGCTGCCAAAGTCACTTGTTGAGATGGGTGGCTACATAAAGTGATTAAGTAAATAAATAAAACTTGCAACTCTTTTTAAAATGTTAGCAATACCAAACTAATTAGGAATAATATAATGAACTGTTTATAAACCACCGCTTTCAATCAAATCAGTCAGATGAAAACAAATCAATTACTGGATGCTAGCGCTGAGAATTTAATAATCTTAAATTCTAAATGCCGATAAAAATAATCAGCATGCAAGTTTGACCCATATAGTGTCAGTGAAAAAAACAGGAAAATTAAAAGGAAAAGCCCTAATGCTCTAGAGCATTTACAAAAGAAACGATCCCTTGGTTTCTACTAGACTCCTCCTAATATATATTTTGGATTCTTTTAAATTAAAATTAAATTAAAATGGGTAGCAGAACACAACTGCAAGCATCATATTTATTAAGAATACTTCTGGATCCCACATGGACTCCACAGGCATTCTTAGGAATTAAAAATGGTAGGTGGCTTGTCTGGAATGTACTCATTTACCCAGGAAAAGATGAATATCCTGATGAACTAAAGTGGGTGGCAAGAAACAACTTCATCAGTTTGCCTTTTGGTAAATGAATGCCGTGCTCTCCACAGCAGTACATGCTATGAGAGCGACTATGTTCTCAAAATTTAAAATGGGTATAACTGCCCCCTTCCAAAGTCAGAGCTCTGAAATAAGCAAACCCTGATTATACGTTTATTTTAAAGACATCTAACATGAATCAGGCAGGTGCAAGTGAAAATAAAGTTAATTAAAATAGTGGCTGCAAAATAAAAAAAAAGATCATTCTTAGTAAGAGAAGTACTATTTTATTTCAGCCAATTACTGTATATTAATGCTGTGTTTAAAGCAAACTAAGATCTAAAGTGAATAAAACTGGCCTTCACTCACTGAAAACTGAAAACAAGCACACATGGGAGCCCATCAATTGAGCACACTAAAAATAGAGGGTCACAATCAAAAGAAACAAATTTAATTTTTTAGCTCAAAGCATAAAAAAGGAAAACACAGTATAATTACAGAATATTCTATTATTAACTTGGTTGTCCAAATGTTCATTATTTATTAACAAAAAGATGCAGAGATCTCCAGGCTAGAGAAGAAATTGTGACTGAAGGCAGTTGAGCTATTCCCACATAAATCCTTTCTTTCAGAGGTATATATGGCTTAGAGACAATCATATTGTACCAAACACTGAAAATGACAGGGTACACACATGTGAACTAACAATCACGCTGCATCTTATTTAAATACAACTAAACACATTTCAACTCCACAGTTGGAATGATCTTATATTAAACTTGAAAGTTAAGTTCTACATTTTCCTTGTCTTTCTGCATGGATGTAATTACTAATATAACATAAGAGATTTGGTCCAACTACTGCATTTGTTCAGACCCATTCAAATTTCAACATAATCAGCTAGTTATTCTTTTTCCAGCCTGCCTCAGCAAAATACTGCTATGCACTTTGAAGAAGCCTATCCCCACACTAACCTCTCTGTAATAAAGATCACAGCAAAACAAACACTATCGAGTCTTTGCTAAGTTTATATTTCCCAAATTCTTCAATATGATTTAGCGTACATCTAAAGATGCATGTAAGTGCACAGATATTCATGTTATTTAAATCTTTCAGTCCAGCATTTATGACACTGTGTTTAAATTAAATTAAGCTGGCCTGTAATACCCTCACATCATGTATGTTACTCCTTACTAACAACGAGGATTTCTAGACCTCATGTAATGTTATGCATGGATAAGTAAGTGTTTTTCCTACAAACCACCAGCCCAAGCCATCAGACTCTTTTTTCTGAACCAACATTGTTTGACTATCTCAATATCTAGGCTGCCATATTATGTGGCTGCAACTGGTGAATTCTGGAGCTACAGCAAATTTTTAAAAAGAACAAATAGATTCCTACAAGGCTGATGCTGCTCACTCCTAGAGGAACCACTTAAGATTTTGGTTTTTGCCATCTCTTTTAAAATCACAGAAGCTGGTCTAGATGTTTTTCAGTACATAAATAAATGCGCACCTACAGGACAGACTAGTTCTTGAAGTCCCCGTAACTTTCCATTAGAGGCTAGTCACTCCCCCAATTAGGTTGTGACAAGACAAAAATAAAAACAGAGTACCGCCTTTTCTAATCAATCCACAGTTCTAGTACAGCTCATTCACATCAAAATGTATTAAGATATTCACTTTAGCTGATCCAGAGCTTTAATACTTACTAACTTGTGACTGAAAGCTTACAATAATGCCTCTTATCAGAAATCTTCAGTGCCATTACAGTGGGATAAGTACCAGATGGCAATCTATTTACAGATTCATTACTGGGGGGGGGGGGGGGGGGGGAGAACCCCAAATAGAGCTTTACTCAATAAAGAGAACAAACTTCACTCATTCATTCAACAAAGCCAGTCTATACCATTTTAACCTCTTGAATTTTTCTTTTATTCTTCATCAAGTCTATTATCACATTTTCTCCCTCTCCTGCATACCCTATCTTTTCTATTTCTATAAAAAGGTATCATTCATGTTTGTACCTCTTGCTTATTATTTATCAAACAGGACACAGATCATGAGGACATTACTGCACAAGTTCTCACACCTTAAAATCATTCATGCGTTGTTACTTAACATGACAAAGAATGGTCTCAATTTTTTATCATCTAAAATGTTTCATATGCCAGGAGTCAGAACCTGATAACCCCCTGCC